TACATATTTGATTCTTAAAATATCAGTTCACTACTAGTCTTTTGAGACACCTTTGGTTAAAAAGAAATGTTAATCCTGCATTGGCAATTTCTACAGATCTTAGGAATAGAAGAATGATGATGAGATTCCCAAGAAAGTTGTTTTTTTCCCCCTTTCATTTTTCCTTTTCTGTTTTCTTAATTGAATAGTATGAAGGTTTTGCATCTTGTACTGAAGTACTCTTGTACTTTTTTTGGAAATAAAATAAAATCAGATCATATTAAGTAGAAATAAACTGTAAATCTTATTGCACATGAAAATTGTATTTCTTCTTTATTAATAATCTTTTTCTCCCTATATTTTGTTTAGTTTCTTCTCCAGCTGAAGATGGTGAAAAACAGCACAAACGATCTAGGCCATCGAGAACATCTTCCAAAGAGTGCCTTCTGCAGAACTCTTCCTCACCTAGAGGAGAACAGGAGTCTTTGACTTATAAGGAAAAATTTATTCCTCCTGAGCTTAGTATCTGGGATTATTTCATAGCAAAGGTACCTAATGTGATCATGAAGTATTTACGTACTAATTTAAAAACAAGACTCCATTTGCTTCTGTCTTTAAATATTTATCAGAACATTTTTTAAAAGATAGTTTTTATTATTTAGCATGATTACTTTCTAAACTGTTTAAACCTTTTTATAAAAGCCAATACTTTGATGAATTATGATTTTAGAGATTTCAAAAGGGAGAGTTTACACTTTGATACAAAAAAAGGATATAGCGCATATACATTACATAAGTGGAGAAAGAAAGGAGAAGAAGGTAGAAGTGATGTCAAGGAGATAGAGTGGTTGAAACCTGAAAAGAGAAGAAGACTAATACTAATATATGCAGTTTTCAGAGACCAAGGCTTCAGAAATGGAAGGAAGGAAGGAAGGAAGGAAGGAAGGAAGGAAGGAAGGAAATATGTATTAATTAAGCCTTTACTGTGTGCCAGGCACTGTACTAATGGGCATTGTCCTAGGAGAAAAGTTGGATACTTCAGTTTAAGTGTGAAAGCAGTCATTGACTGATTCCTTTTGTCTCTGCAGTTTTAGCTGCTGCCTATTCCCAGAGATACAGGAGTAATGGTATACCATAGACTACCCAGGAAGCACTTACCAAAGATAATACTTATCTGCCCTAGCATAGAAGTGCCATCAGAGAACCAATCAATCAGTTAGTAAACATTCACTAAGTGCCTCCAATGTGCTAGGTACTGTGCTAACACTGGGGATACAGAAGTGGGCAAAAGACAAGTCTTTACCCTCAAGGAACTCACAACCTAATAGGGGAGACCACATGCAGACAAATATATACAAAACATGCCACATGCAGCATAAATAGGAAATAATTAACAGAGGGAAGGCATTGGAATTAAGAGGTGGTGGGGAAGACTTCCTGTAGAAGGTATGATTTTAATTGGGACTTAAAGAAGCCAGGGAGGTCAGTAGTCAGAGTAGGTATAGGGGACAGCCAAAGAATGTCTGGAGCTGAGAGAAGGAGTGTTTTGTTTGTGGAACAGCCAGGAAGGCAGTTGCTGGATCAAAGAGTATTTGTTGGGGATTAAGGTGTAAGAAGACTGGAAAGTAAGTAGGAGGAGGTTATCAAGGCCTTTGAATGCCAGGGCATTTTGTATTTGCTTCTTGAGGCAATAGGGAGCCACTCAAGTTATTACAGAGCGGGGTGACATGATTGGACCTGTCTTTTAGGAAAATAACTTTAGTGGTTCAGTGAAAAATGGATTGGAGTAGGGAGAGACATGAGGCAGGCAGACATACCAGTATACAGTAATCAAGGCATGAGTTGATGAAGACCTGTAATAGAGTGGTGACAGTCTCAGAGGAAAGAAAGGTTGTGTTCAAGAGATGTTGCTAAGATGAAATCAACAGGCCTTGGCAACAGCTTGGATATTGGAAAGGGGTGAGAGGCTGTGGAGAGATAGTGATGAATTCAGGATGACCCCTAGGTTGCAAGCCCTGAGGGACTTGGGGAAGGTTTAGGGAGAAATATAATAAATGCTGTTTTTGACATATTGAGTTTAAGATATCTCCTGGATATCCACTTCAAGATACCTGAAAGGCAGTTGGAAATGCAAGATCGGAGGTCAGCAAAGAGGTTGGGGCAGGATAGTTGGATTTGAGAATCATCAGCATAGAAATGGTAATCAACTCCATGGGAGGTGATGAGACCACCAAGAGAAATGTGTAGAGGGAGAAAAGAAGATGGCCCAGGCCAGAACCCTGAGGGACATTTTTGGTTAGAGAGCATGATATGGATGAGGATCCAACAAAGGAAACAGAGAAGGATCAGTCACATATGGAGGAGAACCAGGAGAGAATGGTATTGAGAGAAGAGAGCATCAAGGAGGAGAAAGTGATGAACATTGTCAAACGCTGCAGAGACATCAAGGAGAATGAGGATTGAGGAAAGGCCTTTGGATTTGGCAACTAAGAGATTATTAGTGACTTTGGAGAGAGCAGTTTCAGTTGTAATATTGAGGTTGGAAGCCACATTGTAAGGTATTAAGAAGAGAATGAAAGGAGAAAAAGTGGAGATCCCTATTATAGATGACCTTTTTGAGGTGTTTAGATACAAATGTCAGAGGAGATATAGAACAATAATGAGGGGACGGAAGGATCATATGAAAAAGAACCCAAGAACATTTCAGGTCCACTGTGGTCATGTTTTGGAGACAAATGAATTGCTTGGTACACCTCTATGCTAAAGCACAAAGAACAGTGGAACAACAAGCATTTATTAAGTGTTTTTTACGTGCCAGGCACTATGTACTGATGTTGGCTAGTTTCATTACCAGTGATCTTATATCACTGACCTCTCCATTTCAATAGGATTCACAGATGTCTTTCTGCTCCCTCTGTTGCTTGTACCATCCCAGAGTCAGAATGTCCTTTGAATGGTTTTAATAGAAGTGCCTATAGAAATGTTTTTAAAATGACATAAAGTACAACTGTTTGGATATATATTTGGATGTCTTGGTTAACATGTTTGGATTATGAATTCTATAAAATTTTATTTTAGCCTTTTTTACCACCTTCCCAAAGTAGAGCAGAATATGATTCAGAAGAGAGTCAGGAAAGTGGTGATGATGAGGATGAGGATGGTGATGAAGATGTTTTAACTTCAGATTATCAACTCCAAGAGCATGCTAATTCAAATTCATACAGGTATAAAATATGTATTTTAAGTTTCTTTGGGACATTTTTGTTTCTAAGGAATTTCAAGTACTTGATCATTTATGTAAGATTTTTAATCTTTATACAACATTCTAGGAAAACTACTTAGTTTATATTTTTGCCTCTACTTTTCAACATCTAGGCCCTCAATTCCTTATAATCTGCCTTTTATCCTCTACTGCTCACTTTGTTGGAACTACTCTGCCTAGCCTTTAGAAACTTTTATGGTGTCCCTTTTCACAATATTAAGAACTTTCTCCTTGATATCCCCCCAAAATCTTATAATATTGACCACACCCTTTTAATATTCATTTAATCCTTAGAGATTAAGACACTCAAATCTTGATCGTTTTCCTTCCTGTTTCATTTTTACTTTGTCTCCATTGCTCCCTCCTTCCACTGCCATCAACTAAATGTGGGCCTTCTCTCAGTGGTGAACTCCTTCCTTCCCTTAGCTTTAATTATTGTTTCTATGCAAATGATTTATCTATAGGTCCAGACCCGACCTATCCTGAGCTCCATTCTCACATTTCTGTTTAGTCACTGTATATCTCTACCTGTATCAATACCTCAGAATCAACATTTCCCAAATTGAATTTATGTTCCTCCTTATCTAGGGCCCAACTCAAAAATTTCACCTCCCTCTAAGTATCTACTTCTGTGATATTCCTTGGACAAATTACCATCACTGAGTCTACTTTATGATATCATTATCTCTTATCTCGTTTCCCTACTGGTAGTTTCCCTCCTCTCCAGTCTATTCTTCATCCTGTTCACAGAGCAAACTTCTTAATGCATAGGTCTTATTTGCATCTCAGAAACCTTTGGTGGTGCCCCTTATCAGGTAAAATACAAACTCATTACACTGACATTTAAGGATATCCTGAGGAAATGAACTCCCCTCTGATGTCTAGTTAAAGCTGTAGGTATGATCATTCACTTCAAGTGAAATAGATGCCTATTTAGATTGCTCTGGTAGATTATTCAGACTTGTACAGTCAAGTTCCTGTGTGCACTTCAAGTGGGATGATGCAGTAGATCATAGAAATTTACCAGAATAATGAAGTTAGGGTATTTGTATGTTGAGGATCTCTAGTTTCAGGGTAAGAGTTGGAGAAGAGAGAAAACCTTAGGTAAAATGAGGATTATAATTCTTAACATGGTTATTGTGATGATCCAATGAGATAATACATTTGAAGTACTTTGTAAATTGATTTATAAAGTCAGAATTTATTTTATTTCCCTATGCATCTTGAAAATCCATAGGATATTTGATCAACTAAAACACCAGGGACATATATGAAAATATAAATTAATCGTCCAACAAGGATTTATTAAACCACATCCTGTGCTGGGTGCTGGGATTCAAAGAGAAAAATGCTCAATAAGCTTAAATAGAGGGGAAGGCTCCTAGGTTCTCTGACAACTCTTTTTCCTTGACTCCTTATTCAACTGAAACTTTTCTACAGTTACCAACAGTCTCTTAATTGCATCTTTTCTCAAGTCTTCATCTTTATTGATGTTTCTGCAGCATTTAACCCTGTTGACCATACTTCTCTCCTCTCTTAGTTGTCCTCAAATTGCTGTCCCTTAATTTTCTTACTACCTTTCTAAGTATTCCTCTGTCTCCTTCACCAGATCCTCACCCACATCACATGCCATAAGTTTGGGTTTGCCCCAAGGTTCTGTCTTGGGCCTTCTTTTCTCTGCATACTTTCTCACTTGATGACTTCATCACCCTGGTGGTTTTAATTTTCTCTCTATGCAGATCTATATACTCAGCCCTATTTTTTCTCCTCAGCTCCAGTCTTGCATCTAGCACTGGTAAATGTTTAATGCCTAGCTTCTCCCCATGACACACTTCATTAAGACTGTAGAATCAACAACAGAACAAGCTGACTCTAGCACACCCCTGCCTACCTCACAACTGCTTTTTGGATATTTTAAACTGGTTGTCTTGTAGACATCTCAAACTTAATGTGTCCAAAATGAAACTCATTACTTTTACCTTTCAAATCTGTTCTTCTTCTGAATTTCTCTATTTTTCTTGAAAGTACTACCATCCTTATTATTCAGTCTCAAACTTGGCTTTCTCCATTACTCTTCATTTTCTCTCTCACCCCATGCATACACTAAGTTGCCAATTCTTGTCATTTTTATCTCCACAACATCTTTCACATCTATTCCCTTTTCTTTACCCACACAGCTACACCCCCCACTTCCCAGTTCAAGGTTTTATCACTTATCAGCTGGACTATCACAAAGCCTCTTTCCATCTCAAGTCTTTCCTCTCTCCAGTTCATCCTTTGCACAGCTACTGAAGTGATTTTCCTAAAACAGATCTAACCAAGTCACTCATTAAATTCCAGTGGCTCCCTATTTTCTTCATGATCAACTATTATTCCATCATTGTCTCATTCTTTTTAAATGTCTATATTTTATCTAAGCTTTATAATTATATGATTATTAGTATAACTGTACATTTGTATAGTTAATAAATAAGCACATGTTTATTGGGATTACACCAGCAATTTTTTTTTGTTGGGTATTCTATCAAGAAATTTTGGAGTCCACTAGACTAGGTGAACTCTAATATCCCTTCCAACTCAAAAATCTAGGATCTATGATCACAGATCATAGAATCATCAAAATAGGGTTGGTTGGTTTTTTTTTTTTTTTTGGCCACAGTAGCACATGAAACAGACAAAAATATGAAGCAACCATTATTCTTATGTGGCTGTCTTTTGCAGTGAAAAGTGGCACAGTGTTGGAGATGAGGGCAAAATGTCTAAGAATCTCACAGTTCTTAGACTCACAAGGAAAGGACATGGACAGAAATTGCAAAGGATAGGAAGTCTATGAAGGGATTCAAATCTGCACCAGTGGAAGGAGTACTCATATCAGTGATAAGAGAAATCCATCCATAGACCTTGAGAACAGCTGATCAGTCTAACTTACAGGTTTTTGACCTGGTATCTGAGAAGTCTGATTTGTTTTTTTATATTTTGATGACTGTATTTCGATGTAACTGTTTTGCATTGTAAACCTATGTATTTTTTTTAATCCTTTTAAACATTATTCTGAGAAGGGATCCATAGGCTTCACCATACTGAATCTGGGTCTATGACATTAAAAAGATTAAGAAATCCTAGTCTAATCGATTTATTTTTAGATACATTCATTAAGTGCCTACTATGTATAATACACAAGACACAGGCATACAAAGGCCCAATCAAAAAGAAAATAGTCCCTGCCCTTGAGATCACAAGACATCGATCAAATTTCACTTAACCTTTTCTTTCTATACTAAAAAGATCTTTAGTCTTTCTTTTTTGGAATCTATTTTGTATCATTAATGATTTTTGTTGCCTTCTAGGAATTCTCAGAAAAATTTCATCTTTAAAATACACTCACAGTGTGATGACCAAAAATGGACATGATATAAGAAAGAATTAAAGTGGTGCAGTGGCCAGAATGTTAAATTTATAGTCAGGGAACTTAGTTTAAAATCCTAACCCTACCACTTACACCAGTATGATCTTTAACTCATTTAACCTTTCCGAATATCTTGTTGGTTGTTATCTATAAAATGAGTTGGTTGGCTGTGTAAAATTTCCTTCTAGTTCTAAATATGTAATTCTATGATCAATTCTTGCCTTCTGCATTTTAGTAGAGTTATAGAATTTGGGGCACCCATTTATCCACCCTCTTCATTTTATAGGTCACAAAACCAAAATGAAATTATTTAAATCATATGGGTAACTAGTTGCATTGAATGTTAAAATGGACGTTTTGATTTAAAATCAGCCATATATAAAAAGAGAAAACAAATGTTTTTAAGTTATAAAATTGTAAAGTGAGTACACCTACAACCAAAATTTTACATTTTAAAAACTGTCTTATAAAAAACCTTAAAAAACAGTAAGAAAACATATTACAAATATAGGATTGAAAAAATTAGATATAGATGAAAAACATTAGATTTATATTTGACAATAATCATAATTGCTGTGATTTATTTGAACCTCAGAGACATATCTTTAGTGATTATTAAGAATGACTGGGATTGTGGATCCAGTGAGACATAGATGGAGAACCAGAACAATGTAGTGTCATGGAAAGAAAATGAGAAAGCCTTCTATATGTATATCTTCTTTTTTTTTTTAAACTAAGTATATTTCCCTTCATCCTGTCCCACCCCCCATTTATTCTGTTCTCTCTTTTGACCCTATCCCTCCTCAGAAGTGTTTGCTTCTGATTACCCCCTCCCCCAATTTGCCCTCCCCCTATTATCCCCCTGCTCTCTTATATCTTATACATATATCTTCCAATGGGAGGTCCCCATGTATACAGATGGAGGAGGCAGAGGACCCTTCCTGATGATACCTAGCATTTTGACAGGAGCGATATATTATTTTCAAGGAATAGCCTAAAATGACAAGGTTAAATTTAATGCTCTCTGATATCCTTTTCAACCCTAGGTCTATGAACCTAAGCTTTTTTTTCCCCTCTACATTAGAAAATTTTTCTGAGTGCCATCAAAAACTCATTTCATGATCCATGCCCTGCTGAATTATTCTAATATAAGATATCTGGATGAGGTCTACAATAACATGACCGAAAGCTGCTTTTGTGGGTTGACCAAAGAATGTCTTATTCTCTTCCTGATTTACAAGTTTATAACAAATACCTGCCAGTATATGAACCTTGATATTCTGTTTCTTTTATTTATATCCACATTATTTTCTTCTAATATGTGCAAATATAACTGATGTGCAAGGTGTTTTTTAAGTAGTATTTTTATTTCCAGAAACCCTTAATCTTTCTAATCCAACACTATAGTAATGAGTAATATTTTATTAGTATTTTGACCTTGAGCCTTGACCTCTAATTACTTTGGCTTATTTCCCTTTCTCCTTACTTTTAAATAAACATTTCATGAGAGAACCAAGTATTTTCCATTTCATTTTTTATTATTGTAATTTTGTCTTCCTTGGGATTTTTTTTTTGGTCCAATAACTGTGATTTAACTGATTTAGGGAACTCGTGGTGAGGAAACTCCCTCTAATAATGCAGATCATTGACTGTTTTGAAATTTATATAGTCTTATAGAATTGGAAAGCTACATAGAGATTAAATGACTTGCTCAAGGTCACACAGCCTCTATGTTTGAGGCAGGACTGAAATCTAGGTTTTCTTGGCTCCAAGGATGGCTCTCTGCCCACTGTGCAATGATGCCTCTTTCATTCTCTCCTAGTTCACATGTTTCTAGTTAATTTATTCTCATCAAACCTACTTTAAAACAAATTCATTTTGCTGCTAAAGAAATTCAACCTTCGTAGGAAAGGTTGAAAACAAGATACATGAGAACAGATTAAGATTGAGATGATAAAATGTTAGAAGGAGCAAGTGGCAGACACTGTTTTAACTAAAAGGAGAAAATCTTATCGATGTATTCTAAAATTATAAATAAATTTATAAATAATTCACTGATATTATTTCTAGTTGGTCATTGATGCGACTGGCTATGGTGCAGTTGGTGCTGTATAATTTGAAGACTTTCTATCCATTGGCTGGTCATGATCTTTCAGGTAATAAACACTTTAATGTCCATTACTATCTTTACTTGAATTGAATAGAGCCTTTCTGCTGAACAAAATAATTAATAGTTTTTCAAATCCATCTTAGCAAACTTTTTAACCATTTGATAAATATTTCATAGTTTTATGTTTGTATTCAATTCTATGAGTAATCATATTGAGACCTATTTAATTCCTTATGAATTCAATTTACAGAAACATTAAATTCTTGTTATATACAAAACACTCTGCAAAGTACTAGAAGAGATACAGAAATAATTTTGATAGAGAAGCTGGAGTTTACAGTCTAGGAGGGAGAAGCAACTTATACAGGAAAAACATATATGACATAGCTTATGATAAGTACATAAGCACAAATACAGTGTTACTCCAATTCCAAGGAAGAAAAGATCATTTTTGACTAGAGAGTTTGTTTTAGGAAAAGGAAGAATACATTTTGGGAGAATAAGAGGGTTAAGTCTTAGAATGTACTTTATGAGTTGTCAGAAGGATATCCAAATAGAGCTAGACAATGGGCACTGGAAAATATAAATGGAGGGATAACGATGAAGGTACGTCTGGAGATAAAGATTAAAAAGTTATTTGTGTAGAACTGGTCATTGAAAGTGTGAGAGTGGAAAGTATAAATAGGACCAAAGTCAGAACCTTGGGAACCACAAGTACGTAAGGAGACAGAGGAATTAGAGAAATAGGAGGAAAACCAGGAAAGTATGGCATGAAGAAACCACAAGAGAGTACAGAATAAATAAGGTTATCAGGGACATGTTGTCTTCTTTGCTTTGAAATTTGTTACTACTTTTAGAAAGTGTGTCTTGGAGCCGGCAGCAAAGCAGCTTGAATTGCCAACTACCTGGGAAAGCAGTTTATGTGACAATCCAAAAGGCTGGGGTCTTCATCCTGTTTTGCAAACCAACAATTCTTACATAACAATTTTTTTTCCTTGCTTCATTCTCATTATAATTTAATAATAAGTTATAATTTGATTTGATTCCTTTACTATTAGCTGGCCATGACGTGATCCTAGATTGTCTTTTTGTTATAAGACATTTACCTCTTATTTTTGGATACTATAAATATCAAAGATGTACAAATTTTAAAAACCTTTGGATATTTCCAAGAGAAGAAGAACATGTATTAATATTTAATGCCAGAAAACCATTTTTAGAATTGAAGGATTAAAGAGTAACTAGACTACTTTGTTTTCTATTTAGAGCTTCCAGTTAGCTCACCACTGTGTCATGCAGTTCTGAAAGCTCTTCAGTGCTGGGAACAAGTCCTCCTCCGAAGGCTTGAAATACATGGTGGGCCACCTCAAAATTATATTTCAATTCATACCTCTGAGGAGAGTTTGTCCGGAGGTCCTGCAATTCTTCGCCATAAAGCTTTGCTTGAACCTACAAACACCCCTTTTAAGTATGTCTTTTTATAAATATTAGCTCACTATCTATAAGAATTTTGTAGTTGATCATTGTCATTAGCAAACTGTTTGAAGTTTTCCTCTATGCATATGATGGTACTTTGGATAGTAACTATATATCTATATACAACAATGCTTTTTGAAGAAAAAATATTTGTGAATTATGCATTCATTGAAAAGAAAGAAGGGTTTCCTTGTGTCTGCCATGTCTGATTTTTCTTCCATTCCATTTTGTAGTCTAAAACTATTGAATTCCTGGGATTACTAGATATTTTTAAAATTTGTTTAAAAATAAATATTTTCAGACAGCTAGGTAACACAGTGGATAGAGCACTGCTCTTGGAGTCAGGAAGACCTGAGTTCAAATCTAGCTGCAGACACTGGCTGTGTGACCTTGGGAAGGGCATTTAACCCTGTTTGGCTCAGTGACCTCATCTGTAAAATGAGCTGGAGAAGTAAATGGCAAACCTTTCCCAAAATGGGGTCGTGAAGAGCCAGACTGAAAACAATCGAACAACAACAACAGATATGGTTATTGTGCCTTCACATTGATATATCTGTGATATTATGGATGCATATTTTTATTCTTTAATAACTTAAATAGTTCCAGAATGTATTTTGTGTTGACCATCACAGTCTTTTGAGTTTTCTCTTTGGGAGGATGATAATGCATTTCCTTTAAAGCTGATCAGTTTGTTTGTCTCAATGATATTCCTCCTCTCCCTTCACCTCCTGCCCCCAACTGCACCTCCAGTATATTTAGTGGAAAATAGAGTTCAATTAACATTTAGAAGAAAATCTATGCTAATGTCTTTCTCTGAAATTCTCTTCCATTTACTTTGTATATCTGTACCTAGTTATTTGCCTGTTTTCTACCCATGCAAGTTTTTTGAAGGAAGGGGCAAGTTTTTGCCTTTTTTTTTTCTTATTTTTGTGTTGTTAGAACTTAGCACAATGACTAACTTGGAGTAAGTACTTAATAAATGTCTGTTGACTGACTGTGTATTAAGTGTGGCATATTAGTTAACTTTTATAATTGGTAGAGAAAAGAAGGGCAGTTTATAAATTATATGGCATGAACAATAAGAGGCCAGTATAGTCTACTCTATAACTTTTTAAAAATGTGGTTGATTTAAATGTTTTATTGTTTTATTTGAAATTAATATTTTACAATCCTTCAATTTTGTGGCATTTTATTTTATTTGCGCAATTTATTTTGTATAAATTCAGCAGATGGTAATAATTAATTACTTGTGCTTTTTCATGTGAACTCACATAACTTGTTATGAGGATTGATGCAAATATCTCCTTATCCCTATTACTCCTTCATAATTTATTTTATATCCTAGCAACCTTGGTAGATATTATGCTGTCCTTACTTAATCCATAGCTCAATTTCATCAGGCCCTGGGAGCAATACTTGTTTGTACTTTCATTGAAGCTAGGAGAATGATTTGTTTTAATCGTGCTTAGGATAGTATAACACCTGCTAACAAATTAATAATCACTTTTTGTTTAACTATGTCTGTCTACAGATCCAAACATCATCTGGCACTGTCTGTGAAGAGACTTTGGCAGTACTTGGTGAAACAGGAAGAAATTCAAGAAACTTTTATCAGAAATATATTTACTAAGAAGAGATGCCTAAATGAGGTAGCATTTAAAATTTATTGGTTTCAATGAAAATTGTTTTGAGTTGAAGAGCTTCAAGATTTGTTTTAACATTTCATTTAAAGCAAATTATTCATGGAAAATTAGATTCTAGTATGAACAAAGAATATTTAAAAATATTAAAGGAAGTGAGGGGAAAGATGAGGTAATGTCAATTTTCAAAACCTTTTGAATATAGAGTGTACAATTTGAGAGATGTGTCTAGAAATTTTTTGTTTTTGTTTTTAGAGAAGGTGTTCCTAACTATATAGCTCTCCAAGATAAAAGTTTTTGATTAGGTGGTGTATTTACCTATTAAGAAGTATGCTTCATGAATTTTGGTAAAAAGATGACTTGATGAGGTTTTCAAGTATTTCAGCAATTGTAATATTTTTTGGATTTTTTTTTTTATAAAACACTGCAGTGTGTCTTTATCTTCTCAATTAACAAATACTTTTATCTATTTGGCTTATTTATATCTCTTGTTCCTTGTCTTCTATTTTGATGATTCTGTGTTTGCCACTTTTGATCCTGAAGGTTTCATGATTATAATCATTATTGGTAACCTGCCTTTTCCTTAATGTTAAATTATCATTCTAAAATAGTGTACTTGAGAAATGAAAGGATGCAGTGGTTTTGGAAATAGAGATGGAAATTACTGATAATTTATAATTAAATTCAACATTTTCTTAAGCAATCTGTGAAAGGTAGATGAAAGAAAACTCAGAAAGCAGTTGAACTGAAATGAATCAGAGTAGCAAACATGGGTAGGATGCATATTTTTATATAGTAAAATTCTGCTTGTGTTTTACCTCAATTTTCCATAGAAAGGAACATATTTTCACAATTATGTGGACTACATAAATGTGTGTGAATGACTTTATTAGTCAAATAGTTTTCATGCAAAAATATTGGAAATACATAAAGGTATTTTGTGGGAAATACTATCGTTGCCGTTTCATTTTGCTTGTTTGCTTGAAAAACAGAGTAGATAATTATTTCATCTTATTTCTCATAGTTCTGGTACTTTAGTCGAACTTAATCCATATATCTTCTTTTTGTTCCTAAGAATACAAGATTCCCTTCCCAGCCAAGGGGTGGGGTATGTAGATTGCGAGATTGCAAATTTAGTATGTAGAGGTAAATTTGGAAGTATATGAGTCCCATGTAAATTACTTCATATTCTTTTATCTTTAAAGCTTTTCCTTTTCAGTAATTTTTTATTTCTTCCAAAAACATTAGAGAGGGAATCTCAATAATAGCCTATAATCATCAATGAGTCAAAACTTTCTTCATGAGAGTTTACTGTATATGTAAATACTCCAAATTAGATTGCCTGTGAAACAATATTTTTGGAAATAGAATCTAACAGTGTATAAGCAAACTACTAATATGTCCAGATGATATGCCTTTAAAACTGATGCCTCTTAATTTCTCCTGTTCTTTAAAATGCATAGGTTCTTAACCTTGTGTCATGGACCCTTTTGGCAGTCAGCCGATGCCTTTGTATCCCTTCTCAGAATAATGGCTCCAAATGCATAAAATAAAATAGGATTACAAAGAAAACCAGTTATGTTGAAATACACTGATCAAAATATTAAGAAAACAAATTCACAGACCCCAGGTTAAGAATCTTTTCTCTAATGTGATATTAACATCAGACTTAATTAAATAAATGAAATAATTTAAGATGTAAAATAATTGTTTTTAATGAGAGATTTTTCAGTTTTGAAGGATTTTTTAATGACACTAAGTAAATATTTTTAGTAGTAACTAGTTGCAGTGGGTACTAATTTTTCTGCTTTGGTAAAATAAAGTTAGATTTTAAAAATACTCCCAGTAATCTTGCATGTTACATCTTATCTTTACTCTGTCATGTGGTTATTTTTTTTTTTGATGAAGTCATTAGAGGACCACAGTGAAACCATCAAAAATTCTATAATGGAGGAGCCAAACTTCAACAAGGTACAAAATAATGCTCAGCTGATATTTAAAATTTCATTCTTCAATGAAATTCTTTACTTTTTTTTTTCCTTTCTTTTTCTTTTATTTTCATTCTTTGCTGTTTTTTTGTTGTGTTTTTCTTTTTTTTTTTTTTGGTGCCACAGACTTGCTCAGAAAACTATTGCCCTATTAAACTTGAATATTGCATTGCTAATCAGTTTAATGGGTTTTTTTTATTTGATTTGTTTATTTTGTTAAATAAGAAAATTCAGTCTTTTTTTTTCCCCTTTTTTGGGGGGGTGGGGACAAGGCAATCAGGTTAAGTGACTTGCCCAGGAAAGCTGGAGAATTCAATCATAAAGGAAGTTGAATATATCCTGTTTTATGGCTACAGATTTTTCTAGTATAGGCCTAACTGTAACTATAACTAAGTAAAGCTTTGGGAAATGAATATAAAATATCAACCCTTTTATACAGATCACATTTTATTTTAAAATGTTCATAAAAGTTGTATGTTGTTAAATAATTTATACAATATAATAGAATTTATTTTCTGATAAAAGCAGTAATCTCTCAACAAAAAATTTTGTTGCTTAACTTCAGTAGACAAAAAATACTTGAACTTATGTTTTGAATATGGTATCTAGACTTTTAGCAGAGTGTCTCAGATGAATTTAGAGGGAGGGAAAAACACTGATATCCCTAAGTTTTTTTCATTATTTTTGGACATCCATAACTGTATGACTGTTTGGATTAGACAATGAATTTAAGAATAGGAGTTGTCTTTATTTTTTTTTTACAACCATAAAATTCCAGTATTGTTAGCTAGCTAGGTGGAATAGTGTATAGAGTATTGGAGTTCAGATCCTGACTCAGGTACTTACTGGCTACACAGTTAGTGTGATCCTAGGATCCACTTAACCTCTCCCTCAATTTCCTCATCTGTAAAAATGGAGATAATAATAGCACTTACTTTCCAGGGGTGTTACGAGGATCAAATTAATGCATGTAAAGTGCTTTGCAAACCTTTATACTAATTTATATTAATGCTAGTTCTAAATAAACTTGTATAACCAACATTCTTTTCTAAAAATTCTACTGGTTCTTAAAAGTTTAGGGAATGAATTCTGTAAGATATGAAACATTGAGGTTATAAAGTAATATATAGCTGTGTCCCCTCGTTGTGTTTCCACAGACTAAAAAAAAAACCAAACATTTTTCTGAAGTTGCCTAAGTCAATCTTCATATAGTTCATCTACTAATTTATTTCCAGAAATTATGTTTTTGATGTTGTCAATGAAGTCAAATTAAGTGCCTGAGAAATAGCATGGCAATAGTGCTTGATTTTAGAGATCAGGGACCAGGTTTTGAATCTTGTTTCTGATATTTACTAGCTATATACTATATGGCTCATTCATAAGTCATTTCATTTATCTGAGTCTCAGTTTCCTCATCTATAAAATGGGAATGATAATACCTGCAATACCTACCTTCAGTCAGTCAATCAACAAACATTTATAAAGTACCTACTATGTGCCCGGTGCTATGCCAGGAGATGGAGATACAAAGGCAAAACATGAGAAAATGCAGAATAAATGCAAAATAGATGCAAGGCAGTTAGGGAGGAAGGACTTTCACTATTGGGGGCTCAGGAAAGGCTTCACGAAAGTGATGCTTCAGCAGAATCTTGTAAATATTATTTCCATGAGATTTTAAGATGGTAAGATAATGTATGCAAAACATTATTTAGTCTTAAATCAGAGGTGTCAGACTCACTACCCATAAAACTTACAGCCTGGTTTAGATTAAAATGTAATTTGGGAATGTTTAATAAAATAAATAAAATGCAGTACAACATAGATAATATTAATTTGTGGTTTTCTGATTCTCTGTCTGGGACAGCTAGGTGGCACAGTGAATAGAGTGCTAGGCCTGAAGTCAGAAAGACTGATCTTTCTGAGTTCAAATCCATCCTCAAATACTTAATAGCTGTGTGGCCCTGGGCAAGTCACATAACCCTGTTTGCCTTAGTTCCTCCTCTGTAAATGAGCTAGAAAAGGAAATGGCAAACCAGTCCAGTATCTTTGTCAAGAACACCCCAAATGGGGTCATGAAGAGTCGGATATGACTGAAATAACTAAACAACAACAAAGTTACTATCTCCTCCTCCCTCCATTGTTTGTAATTGAGTTTAGCTCTATTGCCTTAAGTTCTATATAAGCATTTTAAAGTTTGTAAAGCACTTTAGATATATATTACCACATTTAATCTTTATAACAGCTCTATGAGGTAGATACAATTATTATCCACACTTTACAAAATGAGATACCTGAGGTTAAGTGACCCAGAGTTGCACAAGTTATGAGTCTAAGATAGAACTCTTCTAATATAGTCTTCTTCACTCCAAATCCAGTGCTTAATCCAGGCTTGGAGTCTTATTTGGGTCACTGAATGGGTTTAGTGACTTGCACAATATCACATTACTAGCATATGCCAGAGGCAGGACCATAGCTAGCTAATTTCTAGGCTGGTTCTCTAACCACTATGATGTACTACTTTAGTACAACTCCCTAAGACTAAGTTAAGTTGTAGAGCTGTTGCTGGTCTTCATTGACACAGTGGGATTCCTCAGTGGGAGTTCCCTATACTGATGAAATCACAGGTCTAGATCTCCCAGCCTTAATCCAAAAAAGGTACCAGGAAGTAGGGACTTAAACATAACTGTATCCCTTCTCAGAATAATGGTTCTAAATGCTCAATTAGCTTACATTCTGCTGGGAGGATATAGCATGGAAGGATATAAATAAATAGAGAATCAATTTAAAATAAACACACAGAAAGTGTGAATAAAGAGCTGATCATAGAGATAGGAAGATATGACTTTAAATCTCACTGCCTGCAGATACTGGCTGCGTGACCCTGTGAAAGTTATTTTACCTACATATACCCCAGGGAATTGAGACTGTCAACTGCAGAGAATGTGCATATTAGGAAAGGAACTTTGCCTACATCAATGAATCGATTCACAAGTCCAATTTAAAAAAACAAAGAAGAAGAAA